TTAGGCCGGCCTACCGCCCAATTCGAGCGCGTGGCAAGATGTGACCGCCTGGCGATCGATAATGCTATGCGCACATCTCGCCACGCGCTCGAATTGGGCGGTAGGCCGGCCTAAGACAACGATTTTTAATAATTAATTACTTGTTAACTATTACGAAAATTGCAAAATGGTACAGGACTTTTCCATTCATCTCGATCCGTTCTACCTTCTCAAAAATTTTGTCGGATATGGAAAGACTCACCCTGTATATCCTACCTTATCCTGTGAACCCTTCTTATTTTCCGTCTTCCCTATTTCACTTCCCGCTTTCTGGCTTATCCAAAATTTCTATCATCCTTCTCTCTATTCTTGTTTTCCCCCCCTTCTATTCTTATTTCCCCCTCTGCCCCCCATCCCTCTTTCTTTCCTCCATGTCTGCTTCAATCTCTGTCCATTTTCTCCATTTACCCTCTATCATAATCCAACCCTTACCTACTTTCACATTCCTACCCTTTTCCTTTTCTCCTCTTGCCCATCTATTAATTTTCTCCTGTACCTTCCTTTCTTCGTACGACAGATCATTTTCTATAAATATATTTCCTCCCTTTAACTTATTTTTATTACTCATAATTTCCTTTTTCATCTTATCATTCTCTAACTGAACCACAATAACCATTCCGCTTTTCCAGCATTTCTTAACCTTGCCATCTACCTGTACATTTTCTTTAATCATTTTTTCCATAATTTCATTTGTAATCCATCCTTTAAATTCTCACCCTCTAATTATTATTCTCTCTTTCCTTTCATCTCTATCCCGTTCTACCGCCAATCTCTTAAGCAAACCTATTTCCTTGTCACTTAAATTATCGCTTGCTTTACTCAATCTGCTCAATCTACTTATGTTTCCCCCGGAATTCCTTCTGCTTTCCTGCCCTGATATCCTACCTCTTGTGCTTACGCTACTGCCCCTCTCACTACTGTCCTCTTGTTCTCTTAACCTAACTCTCAAACTATCCTCTATCTCCCTATTCCTATTAATTTCTCTCTGCTCAATTACAAATTTTTCGATTACTAACAATCTTTCTTCCATGTCCTTAATTGTTTTTGTCCAATCTGCTTTCATACTTTCCAACTCACTTCTGAATTCCTCTTTTAATGCTTCTATAACCTCTTTTTCCCTGCCTGACCCCGAGTTCTCAAAACTAACTTTCTTCTGTATCTTTACCACACCTTCTTCCGTTTTACTCTGTTTTTCCTCTCTACTGCCTTTTCCATCCTTCACTCCTCTTCCTTTACCTGACATCGTTATCAATTTCCTATACGTCTTTCCTAACCTCTCAATACGCCTTCCAACCTTTTCTTCTATTCTACCCTCTTACCTTATACTTCTATTCCTGCCTCCACTTCCGTCCTCTCCACTTACTTTCCTCTATCTAACTCTCCTATGCAACCTTCTCTCCGTATCGCTCATCAATCTAATTCTTACTTATTGTAAATTCACACTCGCTCACGCATCCGCTCGCACACACCACACCTAACCAAGTCCTCACTGGAAATTTCAAGTGCGTGCGCTTCTTAGAGCGAACGGCATCCTAGACATTGTCGAGGGGGTGCGGGAAAAACCGGACGACGCAGCAAGTGCGGCGGCGAAGGCGTGGGAACGCGAGGATGCACGTGCGGTGTACGTGCTGGCGTCGTCGATGGAGGCGAAGCAGGGCGAGTCTCTACTTGTATGCGGGACTTCGAGGGAAATGTGGACCAGGCTAAGTGCGATCCACGAGCAGCGATCGGCAACGAGCAAGATCATGCTTTTACAGCAATTCCACGAGCACAAGATGGACGCAAGCGGCTCAGTGATTGATCACGTGTCGAAGGTTCAAAACATGGCCAGTCACCTTCGAGATGTGGGTGAACCTATGTCGGATATGGCCATTATGGCAAAAATAATAGGCAGTCTACCTCCAAGGTACAGTGCGTTCCGAACTGCGTGGGAGAGTGCGGCAGTGGACAGCCAAACAATGGACATTTTGACGGAACGGTTGATTCGTGAGGAATCTCGGCTGTCCGTGGACGACAACATTGCGAGTGCGCTCTCAGCGGTGTCGGTGAAAGGTTCCGGAACGAAGAAGAATCAGGGACAAGGAAAAAAGGCATCTAAGAAGGACGTGGAGTGCTTCGTGTGTCGAAAGAAAGGGCATTACGCGCGCGAATGTCGGCAGAAAAGGAAAAAGACACGCGATCGCGACGGCGAGAAATCAAGTGCGGTGTCGGCGTTCGTGACCGTGGCGGAAAACGCGGGAGCGCGAGCATCTAACGTTAAGTGTGTGACGCTATCGGGCAGAGACAGACAGAAGCTCATGGAGCTCGATGTAGGTGATGTCTGGTTAACTGATAGTGGCGCTTCGCGACATGTGACGTATCGGCGCGACTGGTTCGCCGCGAGTATACCCCAACGAATGATGGTAATACCATCACTCTCGGAGACAATGGAACGTGCGATGTGCGAGGTATCGGGACAGTGCTTATATCCAAATGTGTCGGCGGTAAATGGACAGACGCTCGGATCGAAAACTTGTTATACGCGCCGCGTTTGAAGAAAAATTTATTTTCCGTAGGAGTTTGCACTTCAAATGGCATTGAAGTGGTCTTCAAGCGCGATCGTGTTGTGCTCTCGAAAGACAATGTAGTCGCAGCAGTCGGAGTGAAACAAACAAAATAATATATCGTATGATGTTCCGACCGAGAGTGAAGGGCACACAGGATGATCTGAACGTAGCAACAACGAGCTTACAGACCTGGCACGAGAGGATCGGTCACGTAAATAAAAAGGCGATCCGCGAGATGATACAGAAGAGGATCATCGTGGGTGCGAAACTATCAGAGAAGGACGACATTTTCTGTGAGGCATGCCAATACGGGAAAGCACATCGTTTGAAATTCAACAAGAAGCCGATTGACCGGGATGCAAGGCCGGGTGAGTTCATCCATTCGGACGTGTGCGGGCCGATGTCGGAAGAATCTCTGGGAGGAAAGCGGTACTTCCTACTATTCAAGGATGAAGCGTCAGGGTATCGGGTCGTGTACTTTCTGAAGCACAAGTCGGAAGTGCATGAGAAGCTCAAATAATTTGAGGCGCTGATCCGCAACCAATGTGGGAGGACAATCAAGGTGCTGCGAACAGACAACGGCACCGAATATACGAATAGGGAGGTAAGAGACTTCCTATCCTCAAAAGGCATTATTTTAGAAACCACGGCTCCTCATACTCCCGAGCAGAACGGAAAGTCAGAGAGGGAGAACCGGACGATAGTCGAAAGTGCCCGGACTATGATCGAGGCGAAGAAGCTGCCGAAACGGGAGCGGTGCATTTGGACACAGTACAATTGGACACGCTGCAAAT